GGGGGCTGGACCAGATGACATTTAAAGGAGCAAACTGCAGTTACCCAAGTCCCAGATCTTTCACAATACTTTTCCCACAAGTATCACCTCCAAGGTGCCTCCTCACCCCCAAATATTCTTATCATTCTCCCCTGACAGACAGTGGGAAGGTGGCGTATGTAAATGCTAGTGAGCAATGAGCCACTTAAGCAGCACAAGGCAATCAGCTTTCATCTGCAGGCTTCTTAAATGCACCTGCAAATCCGTGATGCATGTGTTGAAATCGGACTAATCAAATCTCATGACAGACAGATGTCGTTGCTTAATTTAACTAGACATTTACTTTACTTGGCATGCAAATGCCCTTATTTTCAGGGATGCAATTATCAGTAAAAGTAATTTAAATACAAGTTTTTGTGACCTTGCTGGTAGTAGGTTCTGACTCAAAGCCATGCTGAGCACCTGAGTGCTATGTACAAAGACCAATCACATCGTTTCACATCCATCTCATTTCAGGGCCTGCCACTGCAGCACTTGTTCACCCATCATGAGGAGCCAAGAACCCGAAATCTGGTGTCAGAGTATGATGATAAATACAACAGACACGGTTACAACCCTCTGCTGCCTCCCCTGCGCCACTGGAATGGACACAGGCTGGCCTGGGTTCCTCAGAAAAATGATTTTCCCATACTTGGTAGTTTTTGGCATTATTAATTCAATTAGATGGAGCATGGTGCAGTGGTCAACATATAGACTTAAAGCAGGAACCTCCTTCTGTTTTAATCCTGAAAATGGAGCTTATGGTGACTTTTGTCCACTTTCTTACCCAGTCAGTAGCTTATCTTTCAGACTGATAGGGTGGAACTGTTACCCACACAACCCTTAATCACCACGGGAAGCAGTGAAGGATCGTGTCAATGAGCAGATTTCTCTCCCCTGTGCAGAAATGCAAGAGACCAGCTGAGAACAGGGAGAGCTGTGAGATACAACTAGCAGGAGAATTCAAGGAGTGTTATTATATTTCTGAATTTAAGTGACATGTACAACTCTGCTAACTTTTTTAATGAGACTATGAAAAATCAGGGCTCCTTAC